CCTTTATTTTAATGTAAGGCATATTAGACCAGGAGAGGACACAAAACAAAGCTCTTCTGCAGGGCTGCCAGCATCCACGTCAGCTGGAAGTGCAGCCTCCAACCCACGCTCATGCTTGGGCTATCCTTGCAGAGAAACACCAGCACAAGTCAGCTTGGGTGTGACATCCCTCGGCTCGGCCACGCTGCCAGCTCACCCGCCTGCCTGGGGTGTCTCAGGGAAGAAAGGGAGCTCCTTGTAGTCCTGTCAGCAGCCACAGACATGTGGTTGAATCAGTAAATATCAACAGGTTGTCTGAAAACAGCGGGAGTATGTGTGGGGGGGCTAAATACACAAATAACCAGAGAAACCGCAGACTATTCCAGCAGTTAAATATAGGCTTCTACATCCTGGCAGGGTGGAATTTTATGAGGCACATAAAGAAATGGGATGTATTTAAAAACAGCACAGATTTATTCTTTTCATTGATTCTGCATGCTGTCTTTTAAAATGCATGGATTAAATCAGAATTAAAAGCTCCCTGCATGATAATTTGTCTTCCGCATGTAGCCACAAATTAAGCCCCCTCAGTAAGCAGTGGTATTTCCAGTTCAAGGCTTCATTTGCATTATACACGCTTTTTATTAATTAGTGCAGATAAAGAAATCATTCAGGATAAAAGATATCAGGATCTGACAAGGGCCACTGGGATCAATGAAGAGGATTCATTGCACCAAGTGATCTGGATCACTGCTTAAGCAGGACACAGAGAAACAATATGGACTTAAGCAGGTCTAAGTTCATCCACCCAGGAAAAAATACAGCAAGCTACAGTAAAAGGGGGGGAAATACTATCCTGGGCTGTGACAACCCTCACATGCCTGACCGGATAACAAGCTATATGGGGAGATCCTGGGGTGCCAACAGCAAGTGTTAATGAGCTACACAAACAAGGAACATTGAGTCGCATCACAGAGGTGTTACTACATCTGATTAGCCTCTGGTCCAGCTGGTACTGAAACAGTGTTCAGGTCGGCTTTCCTCAATGAAAAAAGGGGTTTTGACAACAGTGAAATAAGTACAGGACTTCAGGCTCCATCTGTTAAACGTATTAAAGGACTGATAGCAGAGGGCTGCTTGCTCTATCTGACAAAGATATTGGAAAATCCCTGGTAACTAGAAAATACAGACTGAAACTAAGATGCAGATCTATGCCAGAGATGGCAATTAGCTAGTGGAACAAGTCTGTAAAAGCCCTGATGAATTCTCCAGATGGAGAGTGTTATAATCACCAGGACTGAATGTTTCACAAACTGGAATTAATTCACGGCATTGTGCAAAAGACTAACTTAGATTAGTTCCAAGCACATTTACCTAACAAGCTGTAACTTTCTGAACATGCACCTAAGGAAAGATAGCAAAGACACTATTAAGGAATAGCTGCACATCTAGGAAAGGAAAGGTTTTGTAAAGATCATTACACTTGGCCAACTTAAAGCATTCAGAAATTGTGACTCAAGGCCCCAGGCGTCAAGCAACTGGCCTAAAAATATTGGTATTTTAAAAGGAAAAATATTGGTTCATTTTTATTTGCCTTCTGGCTATTTTGTCTTTTGAACTTCAAGGTTAAAGCTCTGCTCTGCAATTGTGATGTCCATAAAGCAGAAGTCACTAAATCTAATTTATATAAATTCTGAGATTACTGCAGCATCATATGACTTCGGGAGTTCTTCAGGAAAACACCCTTTAGAATAAATTTCAAGATTTCATCCTGATGATTATAAAGGCAGTGTTTCCTTTAAAACCAGTCACAGCAAAAAAACCAAAGCCAAACCAAAAAAGGAAATTAAGCAGCAGCTACAGTTATGTCAGCTCCTTTGACAGTTCCCTGCCAGTGTTTGTCCATTTTCAGCCACATTTCCCTTGTCAAAGAAGGATTGGGGGGGATCCTATAGGTTTTTTCCATCCCTGGTATCTGTGAGTGCTTTTTCTGGATCAACGCAGCTCTGTGCTTCTCTCCTCTCTTTTCTGGAAGGCGGAAGCCTTTTGCATGGTCCCTGTCCAGAGGATGCCAGGAGGGATGGGTTGGGGAACTGATATGACCAAGACAGAGGAATGGAGATACTGCGATACATGAGATTCCCATCTGACCATGGGCAAAGTTGTTTCCATTAGCTTCTTTCCCAGGCCTCCTTGATGAGCTGAAAGCTGGAATTTCACACCTCACTTGCCCTATAACGGGAAAAAACAACCCCCATCCCACCCCTTCAGTTAACCTTATGAAACCAGGTAGTCTCCTACCTCAACATTTTCTATCAAGGTTTTCCATCCCAGCCAGGTGGCTGGCAGGGAGCCTCCCCAGAGCACAGGTAAGGGAAGAAGCAGTGAGCAAGGGCAGAGCCACAGGAAGGTCTGTGTTAGGGAGCAACCCAGCAGTATAACACAACCCCCATCCCTTCTCCAGCAAGCGCTCAGGGGCTGTCACCCAGCAAGTCCTCTAGTAGAGACTGATGTCCCTGGATGTCCCAAGGTTAACCTCACTTAATCCTCTCCAAAGAGGAATATTTGGAGTAGAGATCACTTTGTGAAATTGCATTTTAACCATCCCAGACCTGGGCAAGCCCATCCTGTGATGGAGCCTGAGATGCGCACAGGGATGCACTGGAGCACAGCTGCTGCAGATGGAGAAATGACAAGTGATGAATGGCAAACAGGGATTACAATTGCTTCCTAAAAGCTTATGTCAGCCAAATCTTCTTGGGTAGCAGGACCACAGCGGGAATCCTGCAGACCATCGGGCCAATTATGAGCTGGGATAAGCACAGAAGAAACCAAACCAGTTCATACTGATTGCAAACAAGTCCAGGTAATGTCAGCAATGAATATTTCAGTGCACCCAAGCAACAGGAAAGGTTGACATCCCTGTTTCAAAAAATATAGAAAGAAGCCTGAGATGAGGATGAAGACCACCACTTTGCTGAGACCCAGAGGCTTGCTGTCTGACATCTGCACAGCCAGATTTCCCCCCAGTCACTAACACTGTGCAAAGCAAGACCTCAAGATACAGTCTGCAAACGAGCAGCTCGTGCCTTACAGGCAGCCAGCAGGAACACATATGCAGGAAACATCCCCCAAAATCCAGGCACCATGTGAAAGGAGCCAAGAAGGACCCGAAAATACCCATCTGCACATTAGGACCCAAACTGCCTTAAAGAAAGCATATAAGAGACCATACACCTTAAAACAAACCTAGCTTTGGTGAAACAACTCCCACCATGCCAACCTCCTAACCTACATCTGTAAAAGCATGCTGGAGCAGCTAGCAGGGATAAATGCAGACCGAGAGATATTAAGGCCTTTGCTGAGATGCAAAAAAGATACCACTAAAGATTGTTTTAATAAGTCTGCAAAACTCAGCAGCTCTGCTCTGCCATGCTGCCAGTCCTCTGCTGCACAGCATATCCCTGCTGCATAGCATATCCCCGTTGGTGCCCCTGCACCTGACTGGAGGGATATTTCTCCACCATCATGCAAAGAAAACAGCACACAGGGGTAGCAGGCATCCTCTCTGCAGTGTGATTTGGGAGTTAAACTGTGCTGCCTTATCAAGAATGAGCAGTGACAACCATCATGAGCTAGTGAGTTACTCCCCATAGCTGCTGGGGTGATCCTGCAGCACCTTGGCAAAGGCTGAGGACTGGCATGGAAATCAGTACTGAAATCAAGGGTTTTCTCAGCATTAACGTTGCTGATCAGGCACCGGGGAAAGGCTCTGGAAGTGGCCCCAAAGGGTTTCCCACTTGACACCACAGCTGTTCCAAGTTAGCTGAAGCAGTGTATGTAGCACCTGGGTCTGCTCACTTATACGGACTCAGCAGAACAGACTCTGTGAGTATTGAACCAGCATTTTCCAAGAGTGATAAAAATACCCAAATAAGCTCATTTTCAGTGGGGATGAATCTGCACAGTCCTGGAGATGTTTGTTGGTACCGCGAACGGCTGCAGGAAAGTATGGCCCCTGTTGCCCTCACATTTGTATAGCTCTTTCTTTGCACAAACAGACATTTTTGCTGAGGTCTTAAAAGTACTGTCTTGCTCTTAAAAAATTGCATAAACTCTGCACATGTTTGATTTGGGAATCAAAACACATGTGTAGCTGAAGGAAGACCAGTGATGCTCAGCGCAGGCACTCCACTTGTTACAGCCACCTTGCAACAGTCACCAAAGCCATCCTCCGAGTTCCTCTCTGTCTTGACACAAAGCCTGTCACTTCGGCAAACATGGAAAGGCAGAGCATTTCCTCCTGCATTTCATGCCTTACACATTTTGGAAAGGAAGAGCCAAGTCAGCTGCACCACTTTTTCTCTGTGCCTGTGCTGTGGTAAATATACTGTGTGCAACTTAAGGTGATGCCAACAAAATCTTTGGAGATTCTGGGGTCAGAAAGACCCAATGAGGCAGCTTGCAACATGAAAACTACTCACATTCACACCAAACAACTCCAGCCTTCCAAATCCAGCAAAGTAACTGTCCAGGAGGTCAAAGAGACAGTGATGAGACAGAGAAACACTTGCATTCAGGTACTGCAAGGAAAAGGAGCCCTTAATGCATGGGCTCGCCTCTGAAGGCAGGACCTGCATTGCTTGCAGGGATCAGCGCACAGCCAGCAAAAGCTCTGGATTATTTTTAATGCGCTTGGAATAAACCCGTGCTCACGGGGAGGCCCGGCATGAGGGGCCCGGTAGTGTGAAAGCCCCACGTAAGCTCTGTGGGATAGATTTAAGTAGGGCGTAAGTGGCGTATAAGCTTTATAGAGCCCTCTGGGAGATGTAGGTGCCTCCACCAGCCAGCCCTGCCAGTCCGGCCATGGGATGTTATGTCCCCACCACAGGGTGTGATGCCCACACCACACGGTCTCCACTGTGCCTGTGATTACACAAAGCCCAAGACCCACACATGCTGGCTCCTCCAGCAAGGGCAGGACCAGTTGCCCCTGCAGACCCCCCCACGATGGGCATTACCTGCTGACCCCGTACTCTGGGGGAGGCTGGTAGCGGACCAGGGCCAGCTCTGCCCGGGCAGGCTGGGGGTTGGCATAGGTGGCCTTGAGGACGTCCTGTGTCGGCTGCTCACCATAGAAGAGCCCGTGCTCCTGTGCCTTGCTGCCTGGGGCTGCTGCCTTGGCTTTGTAGGGGTACTCGGGCGGTGGGCCCCGTGGGTCTGTGGCCTTGCCAGGTGGTGGGGCTGCCTTGAAGCCCTTCCCGCCTCCCGAGGCTGGAGGGTGCTGCTTAGCCCCATTCCTCTCCAGTGAGAGCTGCATGATCCTTTCGCTCAGCGAGCGGACGTGGCCCTGCTTCAACTCCTTCAGTGCCTCATCCTTATGAGCCTGCCCACTGTTGGCCCGGTTCACTGTCGGCCTCCCCTCCGTCCTGGACTTCTGGCTGGAGGAGCCATAAAAACCTGGGGTGGCAGGGGTGGCCGGCTGCGGGGGCTGGCCACGGAAAAATTGAGACTGAGCCTTGGCCTCCTCATAAGTGGGGAGCTCCTCGGTGCCGTGCGGGGGCTGCGGGGCCCGGGGCTGCTTCTCCATCGCAGCACCGTCCCCCTGGTGCTCCTGCCCCTGTGGTTCCTGCCGCCCTGACGGCTGGACCATTGGCAGGTCTTCGGGAGCAAGGTTTTCTGCGGAGGAGAGAGTGCTGGCAGTGCTGTTGGAGGGGCCGGCGCTGCCCGTCGCCTGGTGCTGTATGGCCAGCAGGTTCATGTTCTCGTTGGGGTTGCCATACCTCAGCCGCTCCTGGATCAGGCGCTGCAGGACGGTGCCGGCTGCCACCTCCTCTGCCCCTCGCATCTCCGTCTCTGGGACCCGGCGGAAGCTGGGTGGACGCAGGGTGCAGAGGGTCTCCTCGGCTGGGCAGGGAGAGAGAGGTGGCCATTAGCTCTGCTGCCCAGGAGTCCAGTATCCCACTCTCTCTTACCTGCTACCTCCCATGGCTGTGACTCTGTCCCAGATGCACTTCAAGGCCAGTGCCCTGACAGCAGAGGGGGCATGGTTGGAAGCCACCAAAGGAGGCAGGGCCCTCCTCCCTGCTCATCCCCTCGGTCCTAGATCCTAATTCTGTTTGCAGTGAACCCTAAAAATATATTCCAGTCCCCTCCTTGGCCCTCCCTTCCATAATACTCCATGCATCCCATATCCAGAGCTCTGAACTCCCTTCCAAGTCAACAAGGGACAGGCCATGTCATAGGGAAATTCGGTATTTTCTAAAACGCACATGATAGGATAGGACAGGACAGCATAGGATGAGATAGTTCAGTTGGACATGATCTACAATGATCATCTTGTCCCACTGCCTGACCAATTCAAGGCTGACCAAAAGTTAAAGCATTTTATTAAGGGCATTTTCCAAATCTCTCTTTAAACTCTGACAGGCTTAGGGCATCGACTGCCTCTCTTGGAAGCCTGTTCCAGTGGAACAGAAGATGCCTGGAGATGCCTTGCATAGCTTAGAGAGGCAGCCTGTATGCCAATACTAAACAAGATGCTGTATTTTTGATGACCAAAGCCATAGGTGTACTGCATGCCATGACAAAATAAACTGTAAAATGCGTCACAGAAAAACTGTGAAATGGCACAGAAAATAAAAGGGTCCTAGCAGTCTAAATAAAGAATAATCTGTGCTTTGGCATCTTCCTCTAAAACTGCCATTTCCCTTCTGGCTGATAATGCTGTTTCTAAGGGAGTCAATACTAACTGTTGTAATTTTCCTGGGTCAGCACAAGGAAGACATTATGGTCGTAGATGTAACACCAGCATTTTCAAAAGAGCAGCTGCACAACCCTAACACAAGCTACTGAAGTCATTCAGAGCCAATGGCACCATCTTTGCACTACATACACAGTGGAGCTTGCCTAGAGCTAAGCATCTAGAACCATTTGGACAACACTCTCAGGCACATGGTGTGATTCTTGGGGTGTCCTGTGTAGGGTCAGGAGTTGGACTCAATGATCCTGACGGGTCTTCTCCAACTCAGCATATCCTATGATTCTATGACATAGAAATCCCTCCCTCCTGGAGCCCTCCTTCCACTCCCATCCCAAAAGTGCCGTAAGATATCTGCCTGAGCAATGTCTGAGCCCAGAGGGATGTTCCTGAAAGACTCCAGTTCAGACAAAACTGAGAATAAACCCAGCTCCAACAGAGTCCTCCAATGGCCCTAGACATGAGGAGGTGCTGTTTCCAGTTCAGTTTTTTGAGATCATTCTTGGTAACTTTCTCTCTCCTGCTGTTTCCAATCCTCAGAGGAGCTGATCAGAAGGACTTACATTTGTTTTTTGGCATTTGAAAGTAGTTAAAAAACAAATTTTCTCTTGAGGTCAGGTATATTTCCCTGAGGCTTCATCAGTTACCACACATGCTGTGGGATAAACCACATGCAACCCAGAGGCCAGAGGGAAAGAAAAGCCTTTGACTTGCAACAACGAGAATAGGTCATTGCCACTAACAATTCTGTGGCAAAGCCTTAAAGATGATTGTGGGGCTCAAGAGGGAGAGAAGACTCCCAGACTGCTTCATTCCATGCCTATGCTACAAGATACATCCCTTCTGGTTTCCCTGAAACAACATTATCTGCCTGCCAGCCTGACTCACTGGGGTTGCAGCCTGGTCACCAGCTTTCAAAGGGTCTGTCAGCTCCTTGGAATGGTGTTTGAGTTAGGAAGATACACAGACACACACATCTCCATCTACCTGTGTGCTCAACAGCCAAGTATCCATTTGCTTTATGTATCCCTGCAGTTACAGCAAACTCTTACTGCTTTATTCACGTTATGACAGCACACAGCAGCCTCACCACACTGGACATTTTTGCAGAAAGGCAATAATATCTCCCTAACATATCAGAAAGCTTACAGTCTAGGTTGTTAGGCAATACCTGAGACAAGCGTGAGGAAAGTGGATAAAGCCACATCATGCAGTCAAGGCAGCTCTTTATAATACATCAGGATTTCCACTCCTGTGTTAGTCATGTCAGCATCCTGGGAGATGTACTTTAATTGCCTCTAACTGAGGTCCAAAGGGATCGACTACAGTCAGCTTTCAACAGGGTGCCTGCGGTCCTGCTCCATCAGCAAAAGAGCCATGGACATTGGTCCAGCTGTGCAGTGAAGAGCAGCCATGCCCTGAAGGACCAGCGGAAATGCTGCACCTCCACAAGCACAGGTGACAAGTTATGATGGGTCATAACACTCTAGTCAAAGGTAACTCCTCTTTGACTCTACCAAGGATTAGAAGCTGGCCTTCAACTCCATAAATTTTTTTTGTAAATGGTCTAAACTGCTCAATTTATGCTTTGGGAAGTAAATGCAGTGGGTTCATACAGAAGTGTGGCCATGCACTTACCAGCTTTTTCTTTGGCACTGATCACTTCAGCTGTTAGCGGAGAAACGTCATGCCTGCCAGCAAACAACTGGTGATCCTGGTAAAGAAACCCAGCATCTTCCAGTACCTGGACTGGGCTGGTAGGCTTGTAACAAACAGATGTGGAGCCTGTAAGAAAAATGAATGGGATGTCAGTAAAGAAACCACTTGAATGATAAAATATGAAGCCACGACTTATGACAGAAATCCAAAAAAATTTTCTTGAGCATGGCTAGGTGTGGCGAAACCCTTCTGAGGCCATTGAGCAAATCAAGTCTTCTGTCCTCACCTCTCAGATAACACATTAGCTCTGAGGAACAAGAGGCAAACACCAAGTCATCAGTGCTGTTTCATGCACCAAACCAGCCTGGTCTTCAAGGTACAAAGCAGGGCTTATAAGAGCTAACAGTGACAAGTCACAAGCTCACAAATCAAGGCATGTCCCCAGGGCATGAGGCCAAGAGAGCCAGCGTAAAACTGAAAGAGGGACTGGGTAAAAAGAAAAAAAGGTGAGGAAACAGCCACACATTCAATAGGGCTAAAGTCTGTGAAAGGCTTTACCACAAAATCTGCTCATGAGTAATAGTTTAGCAATACAGAAAATTGCTGAGACATAAAATACAACCAGTGCTATCAAGGGAGAGAGTTTATAAATCACTTTGTCCAGATGTTCTTAATAAGGTAAGCAGTGGATGTAGCTGGAGGGCCATGGGAATTCGTCTGGCAGACCAACTGCACAGGAGCTGCATGTCCCAGCTCCAGCATCCCACAGACATTGATGGCTGGACCGTGCTGGTTTTGGTTGGGATAGAGTTAACCTTCTTCTCGGTAGCTAATGTGGGGCTGTGTTTTGGATTTGTGCTGGAAACAGTGTTGATAACACAGGGATGTTTTAGTTACTGCTGAGCACAGCTTACATAGAGTCAAGGCCTTTTCTGCTCCTCACTCCACCCCACCAGCAAGGGGGTGTACAAGGAGTTGGGAGGGGACACAGCTGGGACAGCTGACCCCAGTTGACCACAGGGATATTCCAGACCATATGGCATCATGGTCAGCAATAAAAAGCTGGGGAAGAAGAAGGAAGGGGGACACTTTCAGAGTGATGGTGTTTGTCTTTCCAAGTCAGTGTTATGCATCATGGAGCACTCCTGTCCTGGAGATGGCTGAACACCTGCCTGCCCAAGGAAAGTCATGAATTAATTCCTTGTTTTGCTTTGCTTGTGCATGTGGCTTTTGCTTTACTTATTAAACTGCTTTTATCTCAACCCACAAGTTTTCTTATTTATACCCTTCCAATTCTCTCCCCCATCCCACCAGGGAGGAGCCAGCAAGCAGCTGCATGGGGCTTGGTTGCTACTGAGTCACTACAGTGCCCCAGCCCCTTCACAATCAGTGAGCAAGAACAAGCCCTCCTGGCAAGGAACAAGGCTCATCCTAAATCTGTTCTCAGGGGTACTCTCCAGTGTGCTTGTTTTAACAAGCTGATACAAAATGCATCACAGCAGTGTTAAGCCAGGAATGACATTGGCTTGACCTCATAATTTATGCCACAAATGACATTGGTACAACCCTACAATTCAAGAAAGACACAGACAGACTGGACAGGGTCCAAAGGAGAGCCACAAAATGGGCTGTTGAACCTGTTCTATGAGGAGAGGCTGAAGGAGTTAAATTCTTCCTCCCTAGAGGAGAAGCCTAGAGGGAAGCCCTCATCACAGTGTTCCAGTATTTAAAGGGGACTACAGAGAGGACAGAGGCTCTCTCTCCACAAAGAGCCACATGGAGAAGACAAGGGGCAACAGGTACCAGTTGCACTATGAGATGTTCTATCTTGCCATAAGAATTAAATTCTTTACAGTGAAAACAGTCATTCACTGAACAACCTCCCCAGGGATGTGGCAGACTCTCCATCACTGGAGGCTTTCCAGATGCGACTGGACATTGTCCTGGATAATCTCATCTAAGTTGCCCCCTTCCCTCAAAAGGTTAGACCAGATAATCTGCTGAGGTCCCTTTCAATCTGGGCCGTTTTATGATTCTATGATTTTTTACTTTCTACTTACTTTTTCTGAGCATTCCCTCATTTTTGTAAAGAGAAGATTCTCTGAGGTTCAAATCTTGGAGATGAGCATCTCCTGACCCCAAGAACCTGGCACAGCAGGGACACAGTAAAATCACTTTCCATTTACCCCACTGATTGTCATAGGTTTAGACTAAGGAAATGGCCATTGATCTCTGCCATGGCCACTGCCATGGCCACTGCCAAGGGACTTGCTTGAGCAGGAGGTGGAGTGCTCAAAGTGGTACTAGCAAAGCATCCATCTGTCCCAATGGGGCATCTGTCCACCCCTGTGGGGCAGGAAGCCCACAAACACAGAGACCTGCAGCACCCTACTATTTAGGAAAAGCAATTGGTCACGAATGACCTGGATTTATTAATCCTGACTGCTTGCTTTCCGCTCAGCTAACTGCATGCTCACTGGCATATATGACACAGGGAAGCTGCTTTGCTCCCCTCCTTACATACAGGTCATCGCTAACTCCACGCAACTGCATGGAGCAAGGCAGCAGGAGGGTCATGGGGGGGTAGGATCCAGCCTGTCTTTTCTACAGGCACGAAGATACTATTTTCTTCTGTGCCCAGAGGAGAGGAAATAGGCATTTCTGCGAAATGTTAACGAATTCATCACTTTACCATTCATATTATGCATGAATGTGTATGGCAGTTATCTATATTTAGAGAGCAAGAGGGAAAGACTGCTCGCTTGAGTAGATCTAAGCCAAATATGTTTGTGAAAACAAGCATGGTAGACTGGTCTGGAAATTGTGCTGATGCTGACACAGACTCAAGAAAAATCTCAAGAACCCTAATTTCCAAAATTATTGGCCTATTCTGGTAGAGAATAGGATTAAAGACATCCTTCATTGCTTCTCCACACACAGTCCTGCCTTGGATCTTGAAATCCTGGATGAAACAAGCGAGTTTTGAACCTCAGCCTGTTTTATGAATAACAAGTAGATTGGGGTGAAACAAAGAAAATCTACACACCCAAGGAAGATGAGCAGTTTCAAGCATTACAGGCAACCTGAACAGCCTGCAGATACTGGCTTGGCCTCACCACTCACCAAACAGAATTCAAAAGAAATAAACTGTTAGTAAAACCGTATGCTTGCCTTCTGCATTTCAAGTCTGTAGGTACCCTTGAGTCATGGTTTCAAATTTTCCGAGATGGAGAACAAAGACAGTCTTTTTCTATAATAAGAGCAGAAATTCTCACCTAAACTTGTCTAACTTGTCTTTGGTTGTCGTGGCAAAGCAATATTCTACTAAAATCAAGATAGGTAAATTCCAGCATTTGCCAAACTGATCAGTTTCTGATCTCTGTTACATCAGAGTCAAAATCAAGTAGCTTGAACCCAGCCAAAAACTATCGCACGTTGCTGTACCCATGTCATGATGTTTTATGATGTTAAAAATGATGTAACGATATTTTATGTTCATTCACAGTAGGTTTTAATAAAATGTCAGATGTAACTGGCAAAGAAATGCAGTTTTTGTGTAATACAGAAAATAGTTGCCAAACGATCAGTCCTTGGCATACAGCCACAATCCAGATGATGAGCAATAAGGTACCACTTGCAAGTTTAGTGAAGCCTCATGAGCCATTTGGAGCATGGCAAAACCCTTTTTTCTTTCCCCCCTTGGCGTCACTGAAGCCTCCCAAATCCCAGCTCCCCTCTCTGAAGGGAAAAGCTTTGCTATACCCAGCTCTATATGGAATGCAAGGTGCCCGTCCCATGCTCAGGCACTTGTTCCTTCCCCAAACGTCCTCATTCCTTTACAATGCTCACCAAAAGAGCAATTTTCATCCCTCTAACTGATTCCTGGTGCCAGACCAGTGGTGTCCAGCAGTCATGAGTTAGCAGCCGGTTGAGGGCAACCTAGAATGAAGACCATCACCACTCCAAGGACATGTCCCTGGGGATTGGCTTTCTACCCATATCTAGTCCAAACATCCTAAGTCACAAACCACAGCTGCTGCCCCGTGTTTTGTGACTGCCACTACCAAAAAGAACTGGCCTCATCATGTCTGTAGGTGCCTGCAGGCAGCTGCCAGCTGTGCTGTATCCTCTTCCTCTCCCCTCCCAAAGCCAACCCAGCCCCCCACAGCCCCAGCATGCTAGGATGCAATCCAGTCCATAGACATCACATCTTCAATTGCCATATATCCAGTGTCCCTTATAGCTAGCTCTGTAAGACATGACCACATCTCTGGCCTAGTTCAGTCCTTTCTAAATTGGGTAGCTGCTCCAGGCCCTCACTTCTGCATCTCTACCAACTCTCCTACATCTGACTGCCTGACACCAATTCATTTGTTTTCTTTTCCTTTTTCTTTTAGATAAGCATGCATTACACTGTACAGAAGCAGACATATTATTCTGGAGGTTACTGCATAGCAGTAGAATTCATTTGAAGATTCAGAACTATCTAAATGAATCAGTTGCTAAGATTAACACCAGACAGTCAGCCAGGACCCAGAGACAGAGGAGCAACACTTAACTATTTCCTGTTTCTGATGTGGTTTCAGTCTGGTTTTGAAAAGGATCTAAAGCAAAACCTCATAGGAAGCTCACTGCTGTGACATTAGAGGAAAGTCATGTTTTTAAAGCAATAACAGCATCCCAAGAAACAAATTTATAAAAACAGTCAGAGAAGATGGTTTTCTTATAGCCAAACTGTACTACTACTCTTGTCTTCAGTAAAACACCAAAAGATGCCCAACGTGCAAAGACAGTTTGCTGCTATTTAGAGGCAACACCTCAAGGCAGAGCCCAGGTAATGAGTTTCTGCATTTTACCCCACTGCCCACCCAGGTACCACACTGTGGCTGCCTGCAGCACAGCCCATGCTGCCAGCACATATGGCTCCTTCTCTGCCACACAAAGCCACCCAGCCAAACAAAACCACAGAGTTGTGCTCCAAAAAATCCTCTTCCAATGTGTACCCTACTGACCAAGCGGTTCAAAAAAGACTGAGGTATTTCAAATACCATCCAAAGCAATCTGAAATTAAAAAGTAAGGTGGCTTTGCACTTTCCTATAAACCCTGCCACAGTTTGTAAGGGAAG